AGTGGAATATCTTAAAAGGATATTAAATAGAGGCATGGCAAAAATATGATATAACTGCCAGAAGTAAGTCAGATTCTCACTTCTTCCTGCATTAATACAAGAATATGGTGACATATGAATATGTTGAATTAAATAAAAAGCTAGCAAATCTAACAGAACATCAGTTTTCACTTAGAATTTATGCTGTGGGACTCATAATTTGATAATGCTGAGATAGAAAAAAAAATTAAGATTGAAAACAATTAGGTGCTTATGTAGAAAAGAAGAATGCATGGAGTTAAAACTAGCTAAATTACTATTGCAGGGGAACTTAAAACTTCTTTGGACATTTAAAAAGAGCTCTGCATACTGCAGACTAGGTGAGATTTTTCTGAAGTCAGATTGTGAAAAACAGTCATGTTCTGGGTTTTCTGCACCTTCCTCAGGAGCCTTCAAGAGCCACCATCTGTGGTAGGATGCTGCACAGGCCTTACATGTGATTCAGATCTGCCCATGCTATGCCCATCACCTATTGCATAAGTTTCACTTCTTCTAGCCCAGTTATATTTTTATTATTGAATTTATTGGATTGAATGACAATATCAAAATACTTAAAGCTAGTAGCACAATTTAGAATTACTTGTGAAAACCTTTGCTGAAAAAGACATACAAAGAATGAAAACAAACAAGCAAGTAAATCACTAACTTCTTCAACTTGAAAACTTTCAACCAACCAAAGGTTTGATAGAATTTGGAAGGTGACATTATTGATGAAAAATCAACTTCCCAAAAGTAAATTAGTATTTTTGCCAAAATTTTTCTATTTCAAACCAGAACATTTTATTCACCCATGCCTCCAGTTATGCTATATATTCTTGAGCACCATCTACTGGTGCTGCATTATTAATTAGCTATTTATGAATATAGGAACCATTTATCTAATAAAATTAATTAGAATCATATAAACTTTCCAAGTGTATTTAAAATTGAGAAGGCAGCACATAGCCTATTATTTATTAAATTAATCTTTCCTCTTAATAACAGAGAGAAAACTAACACTGGTGAAATTCACTTAAAATCTGAAATTAATAGAGAAATGCATTAAAGTCTTAATGGTTTGTAACATCCTGGACCAGAAAAAAAGTGCAAGTCGATGAATTTTTTTTCCAATTTGCATTTGTTCTCTATCTGATGGAACAACAAAGTATTTTTCTTCTCTTCTTATGAATTTTATAATACCTGTAATATGGCCAGCATCTTCCATTTTATTTCTTTTTTCACACCAAATTACATAACATTTCTCTTCAAGTGGTCACACCAGCTTTGAATTTAACATTTTTCCTGACTTGGTGCTGGGAAACACAGCTTGGTGTTCTGCAGAAGAATATGTAATGCAGAGTAGAAAGTCTATTCTTGCCAAAGGGGATTTTGAAGGGCCTTGCATATCTGTGAAAAGTGGGATGTGGGAAACAGACCAGTGGCACTTCTACATAAGCCAAGAGGCTCAGGGTAACCATCCCTCAACTCTTACCTGTAAATTGAGTCTATAACAACAGTTTCCTATCTTGTGTACACAGAAGAACATACATAACTCTGGAGTCAGTTAAACATCATGATGATGATGATGATGATGATGATGATGATGATGATGATGATGATGATAATAATAATAGTAATTAATAAAGTCCTTCTTAAAAACATTTTTAAGATTTTTTTTAAATGTATGCCTGAAGTACTGCAGATAGACTGTCTTATTTGCTCAAAGGAGTGACACTGAAGGCTGCAACAGTGACCTTCACTTGAAAACAGTCCCCCTAAGAGTGACTGGTGATTGAGGAAGAGAACAATCCATTCTCCAAAGCCACTTTCTTTAAACTGTGGTCTTCCTTTTCAAATTTGCACCAGAATGGTCAGTGGTAATTCCAATTCCAATTGTGTTGAATTCTGTGCCATGTTCACCAAAATCTAGACTGAAATCATCTAGCTGCTGTCACCAAGATACCAAAGATCTCAGAGTGCTTCTGCAGGTCTGGGGGAAAAAAACCTAACTAAACGAGCCCTTTAATTTATTCCATCCAATATATTAAATTGGGTAAGCCTCATTTTTCTCATTAATACAGACATTACTTAAAAACATTACTTTCCTCCCTCTTTCCTAGTTGGGATCAAGCCCAGCTTTGCTGAAACAATTGCATTGAGTCTAGAAAGCGGCACTATAAATTTAGCATTCACTATGTTGTGCCTATCCCTACAACACTACTACTGAGCAACATAACACTTCTTTCAGTGCCTTGATACTTTCTTTGTAGTACAGATGGCACCACGTGCACCATGCAGGGCTGACAGCCCTCCCATGAAACAGTGTGGGATTGCATTAATGCATTATTCCTAGGTTTTAACAGAGGTACTCAAACAAGATTGATCTACTCAATATTTCCAAATTATGTGCATAGGTTCACTTTGCATCTGCCCTTCAGGCTGTAGCTTAGGAATAAATGCACACACAAAATAGGACCATTCCAAACACAAGTGATCCACATGCCCAATTTAAACAAACGCATTGTCACATTTCTACCTACTTATATTTTGCAGACTTAAATATATCCTGACTCTCACTTACAGACTATCAAAATAACCTATATATACATAAAAAATAACATTTTTTCTTTTACCTCAAATGCTGCATGACACCTGGCAAACAATTTTTTTTTCTCAAATTGGCCTCAATTCCAGTAGAAAAACACCTGCAAGTGGATTGCAGATATTTGTGTACTCAGAAAAATGGTACAGCTTATTTTAGTTCCAGTCATCAAAACATGAATTGTTCAAGTCAAACTGCACAAATCTTGTAAACAAATTTTGAGAATGCTCTGTGCTGCCATCCCATACCACTCTGTCCCACCACCTCCCACCCCTCTGCCCCTCAGCTGCCATAGTTAACCTAAGCATGACTTGTGCAGCTTCCACCGTTCCCTTCATTTTGTGGACAAGAGGTTAAGGAGTCTTCCATCCCAGACTCCTCTCCAGCACTGCCATGTCTTCACAAAATTGAAAAGTTCAAGTTAATCGCTGAGCTGGAATACCTAGGAGATGTCTAAAGACAATGGCTTACCATACATTGTATATTCATTATTTTTTTAATTTCCACTCACAGTTAAAGGAGCTACAACTTGCCAGTGCCATAGAGAACAGGTAAGAGAACTCATCCAAGTTGTCTTTTGTGACTTACCTTACAGTTCTTCATTTAATATAAAGGAGATGAAAAACTTATTCAAATATTGCATTGTATGTACACCTTTGATTTATTCTGCTCATATCACTCTGTCAATGAACAGAAGTTTCCTTTAAGTACTTTAGGTGACATGATGATCACCCACAGATAGTATGGAATGTCACCAAATGTGAGAGAATTTGATTGTCTCTAAGCCAATAACAGTTCAGCTTTCATTGCATTGCATTTGCTGGGCACAGAACCTGAACATCTCTCATATTTTCCTTGCTTTGGGTAGATATTGTTTGTTTTATTTTGACAACAGGGATATAACATATTTATGAGTGCAAAAGCTAGCAGGGAGGTGGTTTACAGCTTATACCTATGGAAAATACAGTAAAAAGCTATAACCGTGCTTTGGATTACTTTGGTTGAAAGTGGTTTGTGACCAGCAATACCTCTCTGATCAGAATTTGTGCAGCATGTAATTGTAATCATAAAAGCTCTGTATTACAGGAATTCAAACCTTGCAGGGGCTAGAACAGGACCATAGGGGAGAAAATCGCTTGCTTTAAGGACTGATTGGTTTGGATGTTGTCCAGAACTTTAAACTTTCATTTCAACGGGGTGGGAGGTCGTGTCCAAAACCACACAGGCATGATGCATATGAACTTTGAAGGCATGGAGGGGCTGTATTGCACCACGAACTCAGCAGGGCCTTGTGCTCTCTGCAGAATGGCAGCAGTGGGAGCACACGACAGCCAGGCTGAGAGCTGCTGACTGACAGCAGCATTTATTAAAATGTCATCTCCTAATTTTCACGCTGGATATCTGTTGTCGTGCAGACTGCCCCAATATCTCACGCCAGCGGGAAGAACCAGAGGACAACCCAACCCGACCTGAGGAGCAGAAGGGACACAGCGGGAGGGGAGCGCAAAAAAAGCATACCAACCATACCCAGACGTAGCAGAATTTAAAACAAAAAGAAAAAAGGGAGCGCCTCGCTTGTGGCAAAGCTTTTTTCATGAACCTCCCCCGTCTGACCGCACCCGCCGCCGACGGTGCCACTTCAGCCGCTGTCGCCTGGCAAACTCCGCTCTCAGCCGGGGCAGCGCGGCTCCCGCACTGGCACCGCGCGGGCGAGCCCCGGCTCTCCATCCCTGCCCTGCGAGGAGGGCGGCCGGCGGCAGCCGAGGGAAGGGATGCGGCTGCCATAGGGCACAGCCTTATCTCTGGCGGGGAACAAACGCGGCGTTAATTGCAGCCGCACTGAGGAAATTGCCATTGTTTCTAGTCAGAGGCGGGCGGCAGTTTGAGAGGGTTTATCCCGGGAGCCCTCTATCAGTTAATCTGCATCGCGGGGCCGAGCCGACAGCTCCCGGGGCTGCGGCGAGGGGGAGGTTGTGCTTTGGAAGAAAAAACAAGAGGAAGGAGATCAAGTGCGAGCTCCCCGCCCCGGCGTCCCCGTTTCCCTCGCTCCCCGCCCGCGGGTTTTTCTGACGCCGGGGCGCAGCCGGCCCCAGCGCTGGCGGCCAGGAGAACCTGCGGAGCGCAGGGAGCGGCGTTCCCGGGACGCGCGGGGCTCCGTGACGCGCGCACCGCCCCGCAGCGGCAGAGCCGCGCTCCCGCCGCCGCCGCCGCCGCCGCCGTGCTCCCTGCGCGCCCGGCGCTCACACCGCTCCCCGACATCGGCAGCCGAGGACCCCCCGCCGCTGTCCGGCCATTAGTGCCTGGGGGGGAGGAGGAGGAGGAGGAGGAGGGAAGGAGGAATAAGTCTATTAGTAATAACAACAACAACAACAAAACCCACCAACAAATCCGCACTAGCGCCTTAGTCCTTCTCTCAGACCGTCGACTGCCTGGCATCGCCGTGCATCGGGCTGCTGTGCTGAGACTTTGTTTCAAGTAAAAAAAAACAAAAAAAAACCAACAAAAAAACCAAACAAAAAAACCTTCGCTTGCTCAGCCACTTCCATTTTTTCCCCTGCAGTCTCGCTGGTTTGAGGTGGTTGTTTTTTTTGGTTTTATTTTTTTTTTCCTGTTTTCTTTCCCTTCATGTGGTTGGATTTGGTGGATCCGGAGCCAAAGCTGATTTTTTTTTCCTCGGTGGGGTGTGCGTGTGGCGTGCGGGGATTTTCTCGCTGCGTTTTTTATCTTCTGCTGCTTTTTTAAATCTTGGTTTTGAACCTGAGCCGGGAAAAATGGGAAACGGTGCTTCCGTCAGAAGGGGAATCTCTCCATCACTGTTGTTGGGACGTGTGCCTATGGTGCTAGTGTTTTAGAGAAATAGCCTGACAGCTTTCGGAGTGGAAGGTAAGGGTGCCCGGGGCATTTCCATTTCCCATTTCCAGGGATTACGACTGGAGAGCTTTTAGCTTGGGATTCCGGGGAGGAGGCGGCGGAGGAGGGGGACAGGCTGTTGCTGAAGGATAGAGAGAGAGACAGCACATACGAAATGATCTCCGCATTTACTTCAGCGCTGCAGTTTAAAAGTTAGAGAAGTCCGTTTTGCGACAGGTCTGCTTCCCTGAGAGTAATTTCCAGCGAGACCGAGAAAACCTGAGGTTTGTGCACGATTGGGGTAATTTGTATGGGGGGGTGGGGGGAATTGTTAGGTTAATAGGAAGTTAAAATAAGAGAAGTCAGTGGGTCTTCTGTTGGGGGAAAAAAAATAAATGGAGTGATGGCGCCGTCTATGTTCGGCTAAACTACAGTGTCACCTAGAAAATCAGTTCGGGGAATATCCAAACTGAATGCCCGTTTCTTTTCAGCAGAAGAGAATTCTCCCCCTTCCCAAATAGGCAACCTTAAGCCTCTGTGGCCATTCTTTAACTCCCTCCTCCATGGAAAAGAAAGATCTTTTTAATCTGAGTGTCTTAATCCTTCCAGCGAGCAGGTTCATTCTGCATCTAGCAGTGCTGCAAACTAACTGAACGCTGCCGGCACACTCAGCTCGTGTGTGTGTGCATGTGTGCGTGTGTAATGCACGCAGGCAGAGAGGGATTAAGACAGTGCTCTGTTTCAGTAGCCGTGCATGAAAAAATGCTCAACTAAAATCAGGGCTTTACATTTCTTCATAGAAAACAGCCTAGCACTGCAGAGGGCTTTATTTTTCTAGTGCAGATATTACATAGGATGGAAAAAGTCAGGGGCTTTTTTCCTTTTCAAAGAGAAAAGCAAATAAGCTCCCTTTCTACTTTCCAGATTATAAAATTAATCCTTTTTCATGGGTGGAATTCTTAATTTAGACACTTATTGTCACATTGGCTTTCAACGCCTACACCATCCTGAATAACACTGCGCAGAACTGCATTGCCTGCAAAGTGCTTCAGCAAAGGGGAAATTGTTTCCAGAATTCCCAATAAGTTTCTCTTTTTTAAAACCTTAAATGCTGTACCAGCCCTGTTTGGAGAAGGAGAACCATGTTATTCATTGAGACGGATGCTCAGAAAGGAGAAAATCTGACCATGTGGATAGACCCAGCAGCAGCCCTGCTTTTCTTTTTTTTTTTTTTTAAACCTTTGCTATAAAGAGGGTTAGAGTTGCTACTGCTTTTTGCCCATTTCAGGATTCAGAGTTTGCATTATAATCTAGGAGATACAAAAATCTCTTCAAGGGAGCTTAATCCGGTGACTTGCTGTGTGTTACGCAATGGGAAACAGAAGATGCCTTGCTGTTTGGTGAGGAGATGAAAAGCTAGGCAAAGACACACATCAAAACTCAGTATCAGTGCCTATGTGTACGTGTGCCTCTGCTTACAGAGCAACAGTGGAAGAGACTGCAATCTAGAGAGTTTTGAAATTAGGTTGGTATCACTTCTTTCTGCTTGCATTTAAGAGCAGAGAGTGAAAAACTACTCATTTTTAAGAGATAAGCAACTTTTCAAAGGTTAATGCTGAAAACCTTCAACCTGAAATTTTTGGATATCACTACAGAGATAAATGTAACTCAGGTTCACTGTATGAACCTAGGCCACTGTTAAAAGAAACCGAGCATGTGGAGACTCTGAGGGTTGGCAGGTGCAGTAAAACAGCTTTATTTGGAGATACTAGCAGAGAAAATGTAATATTTTCTTTCATTGTTCAAGTGCAGGGCTGCAAAACACAGGAGCTAATCAGACAGTGTAAGTAATTCGTAATCAGAGGGCAAGTGCAGTCCAATAGGTGCAGAGATCCTGCTGTAGCATGGCCAGTTACATAGAGCAGTAACTGATTGTAATACTAATACTGTGATCCATTTTATATATCCTTAGAGGCTGAAGCACATTGAAATTATTATCTTAAAAAGCTGGCATTTAGTGATCGTGTCAGACCAGCAGTAGTTACATCCATCTGTCTTTGTTTCTTTCTTCAATACTGTCAAAATTTTATTAATACATTAATCTCAGTACTTGCTGCCTTTTTAGAGACCTCTGTATACCAGGCAGCCAGGGGGAAGACATGTAGGCATATGGGAGATAATGTTCTATCTGTAACAAATAGTAATTTGAGCATTTTTAAATTATAGCTGTAATAATTCAGTTATTTCTCAGACTTAAGAAAAAAAATAATATATAACAAATTCTACCGGCTTTCTTGTTCTATTCTGGTGAAATTCTGCATGTGGATATCGTATATGCATGTACGTAACTATAGCAGATTATTTACTTTTTGAATAAATAAATAAATAAATTTTCTCCTCTCTTGGTCTGCCAGGTACGGCATCTAGGTTTTTACTTAAGTTGAGCAGTTCTAGTCCACGCCATGATGACTAAATCCTAGAGGGGAGAGGACATTCCTATTAATAATCTAATAGATGTTGAGTTTTAATTTGTCTGTGGAAGACGTGTCTGTGGCGATGGCCACGTGATGGCGCTGTGCACACAGCGGCAACCCCGGCCCTTGCGTTATAAAATAAAAATTACCTGCCCTTCTTTCTGAAAGGGGCTCTAACTGCAAGCTTGAAAACAGCTGGCTCGAATATTGGAAGGAGTTTGGTTTTCTATGCGTGAAGAATTCTACTTGCATTTTTATTTCATTTCATCTCCTGCAGGCCAAATGACATAGGATGAAGGCTGTTCGTAATTTGCTGATTTATATATTTTCCACCTATCTACTGGTTATGTTTGGATTTAATGCTGCCCAAGACTTCTGGTGTTCCACGTTGGTGAAGGGGGTCATTTATGGATCGTATTCTGTAAGTGAAATGTTTCCTAAAAACTTCACAAACTGCACTTGGACGCTGGAAAATCCAGATCCAACCAAATATAGTATTTACCTGAAATTTTCCAAAAAGGACTTCAGCTGCTCCAACTTTTCCCTCTTGGCTTATCAGTTTGATCATTTTTCTCATGAAAAAATAAAGGATCTTTTAAAAAATAACCATTCTATAATGCAGCTCTGCAACTCCAAGAATGCTTTTGTATTTCTGCAGTATGATAAGAATTTTATTCAGATACGTCGTGTCTATCCTATCAACTTCCCAGGATTACACAAAAAAGAAGAAGACCACAAATCCTTCTTTGAATTTTTGGTGTTGAATAAGGTGAGCCCGAGCCAGTTTGGGTGCCATGTGTTATGCACTTGGTTGGAGAGCTGCCTGAAATCTGAAAATGGGAGAACCGAGTCCTGTGGGATCATGTATACAAAATGCACCTGCCCTCAGCATTTGGGAGAATGGGGAATAGACGACCAGTCCCTGGTGTTGCTCAATAACGTGGTGCTGCCCCTCAATGAGCAGACGGAAGGCTGCCTGACCCAGGAGCTGCAAACCACCCAGGTCTGCAATCTCACCAGAGAAGCCAAGCGGCCGCCAAAAGAAGGTAGGTGCTTCTTGGAGGGGGGGCCGAATGCCATGCCAGTGTGTAAGTCCTGCTGCCAGCTCTCCTTAATACTCACATTCGTTTCAGTTGCTCTCCACTCTGGCTCTCCTCTAGATGAGGCAAAAGGGCTGGAGAAGATGCACGTTCCCTTAAAGGCAGGGAAGGCTGAATTTTCATTTCTAAACTGGCCAGCATATAGTTCTAAAGTACAGCATATAGTTCTGCTGAGCACCGTTGAAACTCCCCACAAGTAGGATCCATCTCTTTTAAGGCCTCACTTACAGTAATGCCCACAGGTGGTGAGCCAGAAATCACTCTCCTCCTCACCATCTCTTTACAGCAACCACCCAACTGCAAAACCTTGGCCTTCTTGATATGATCCCTCAACTTTGCAAGGAAAACATTTCCAAAGGCATGCAGGCAACCTAACCAAAAGACCAAGAGATTTACCATGTTCAGGACACCTGGTCCCTGGGCCAGACCTCAGCAACCTACAAATAAACCAAGAGCAAATGCAATTCCTAAGGGTGAAGCCTCTGCCTGAGATGCCTGGAGAGGCGAGGCACTGTGCAGGCAGGACATGCTGGTTTAACCTCCTGGGAGCTCTAGGAAGGGGCCAGTGGCTCTGGGAAGGGGCCAGTGGCTACTCCTGCACCCATTCCCCAGGCAGTCCCAGCTCCCAGAGATGGAGGCTCGGAGTCTCATTGCAGTATTAGCGAGGAGAGGGTTGATGTGTCATTCCCAGCAGCTGCTCCAGTCCCAGCAGCTGCTTCATGTCCCTGCTGGAAAAAGGGGAGGGGGCTGTTGTGGAAGGGTGGGAAGTCAGGGGTCTAGCAGTTAACACAACAGTCTCCCACCTAGTCCCTCTGCTATATACCTCCTGTTTTAGCCTGATATTTTGGGGCGGGAGAGTGATTTTTAGATGGACTTTGAGGGGCTGTGAGGCATGGAAAGCGTGGGTTGAACATAGATGGGGTCTCTTGGTGAGAGGGTCCTTCAGAACTGCCATGCGGGAATGGGGGGAGGGTGAGGATAAATCATCGAGCCTGGGGTATTGCATTTTAATGCAGGAAATGTTCCCTCTCTCCTTGTTTTTTGCATAGCCACAAAGCTCTCAGTCTGTGGCGAGGCAGT